CATTAATAGTTTCATAAATGTTAAGAAGCCCTGAGACACAGTTTCGTGAAAAAAAAGCCCCATGGTGCTTACCGGGTTAACGGGAAGAAACTCAGCTATCAGACAATATTAACAATTTTTAGCTAAACGAAACACAAGGGTAATAACAAAGGCTCTGAATTAGCCCTGAGCGAAACAATGCTAACGCACTTAGCATGGAACTCACGGAAAAATACCCTTATTACTTATCGGATCTGCACAAACAAGATATCGATTAGCAAACTGAGATTCCAAAGATTCCAGAAATATAACTGAGCGACCAGAACTCGCGGCATTGGAAACAAAACCAGACATCGCACAACGTAGCTTTAGGTAGCAAACATGGGACATTGGCCCTTTCTCACTTCTCTTATTTTTCATTTCCTCGCTACTTGGTCTCGGTCTCACCGGAAGTTGATTTTCGTTACACTGTGCTTGCATTTTTGTAATGACAATAAAGTAATCTAATCTAATCTAATTTTTCTGCGTCATCTTGAGTAGGGTCCCAATGGCCTTATTTTTGCCAGAGGAGCGAGGAGCGATAATGGAGGAGCTATAATCGAGGAACCACCAGACCATCCTTCGATGAAATCCTCAGACACTCGCCCCGCCCCCTTACTGTGTATCGCTCACTGATTGGACGATGCAGTGCATGCACTGATCTGATGCTTCTTGACATGAGAGCCGTTTCCCAGCTGAGTGAAGAAAATACATGAAACTCACGAGTCACTCCTCAGTTTATACTGTGTTTTGTTTCAATTCATGTATAATTTAGTTACAAATATGTGATATATCTTAACAACAAAGTGGTCAAAAATGATTTTATNGCTTGCCTATTTCGGAGAGACAAGGTGTGTGTGTGTGTGTGTGTGTGTGTGTGATGGCAAGACTTGCCACCACCCTTGATGCCGTGGCAGTGCTGTGCTGACACTGAGGGTGGCCGTCAGGTAATCACATCACCTTGGCAACTGGGCTGTCGCTAAGGGAGACAGTTGAGGCGCACCCCTGTGGGTGCAGGGTGACAGGGTGTCCCCTCAGGACAGGCAACCTGGAGAGATAAAGTGTGTGTGTGTGTGTGTGTCTGTTTGTCAAAATTCTCATTATCTAATCCACACAGACCCACACACACATATAGGTAAACACACACTTGAACATAATTATGGCTACAATTTGTTTTCAGAAACATAGATACTGACACGCTCCCATAGCGCATGTTTCTATGGTGACCGACGGGTGCAAATGCGTTACAACGGCCCAAAACATTTCCATAAGGAGAATTGGCCACAGTTTTAAAATTGAGGCAAATGTAAAAAACACAAATGAGGCAAAACACATGCAGATGAAGAAACGCCTTCCCCAACCGAACAACACATGGGCAGCATTTCGAAAACATTCAACAACTTGAAAAAAACACTAGAAGCGTTTACTAAAAGCACTGCATAAACAAAACGCTAACTTTATAACCATTGAACGTCAAAACAAGCACTCTGACCCCAGCTGAGTGCATCACTTTTTAGTGTCCCCGTTTCCGTTGTGTTTGGAGCTTCTTCCAGCACTTTTTATTTGCAGTGTTTTGTTTATGGAGCGCTTTTAGTAAACCATGTGCATGTGTTGTCAGGTGGGTGAAGATGTTTCTCCATTTCCATGTGTTTTGGCACATTTGGGTTTTTACATTTCCATTCTTTTTGAAAGTGCATCACGTATTTCCAAATGGAAGTGTTTTGAGCCGTTGAATCACTTTTGAACGGGTTGGCCACCGAAGGTTTTTTTCTGTCTCACAAACACACATTTCCCTTTTAAGCATTGACTGTGAGTGCTGCTGGGCGATGAACTCCAAACTGCAAAGATTAATCAGCAGAACAAAGTTATTTCGAAGACTTTCATCTTTTATCCATCAATAGTGTGCAAGTGTGCAAGTGTGCGTATGTAGGTGTTTGTGTGGGATCGAGAGGGAAAGAGAGATTGTGTCAGTCTGTGTAAAGCCAGTACTGCAGTGAGAGTGACGAGCAGTGACCTGACTCCACCTGTTACACCGGGAGAGTCACATCAGCAGACAGACTCACACACTCCTGTCACACACTGTTATGCACCTCTCACTGTGTAGTGGATGGGTGGCAGACGACAACCTCTGAGTCACAACTTGCGTATTGTAAACAAACATCAGACGCGACACTAAATGCCACCTCAAAGAACATTTCTTTATCAAAGCGGAAAAAACAGTGAGGAGGGCAGTATCACGTTAGCTTAGAAAACAATCCAGTGTTAACCCAAAGGCAAAATCCACCTGTACACACGCATGTCTAACACACAGCTATCACCGAATGAGACAAGTGCCAACATCTGAGTCCTGCAGGTTCTCGCATGCACACACTTTTGAGGGAAAAGCCAAGGTAATTGAGAATTCTCTCAATTATTTTTGCTCAGGGTTTGAGACAAGACTGCAAGGCAAAAACAGATTCAACAGTCAACCACTTGACATGATGTCCCGCCCCTTAGCCTAACACGTACAATGAGCGCTAACCAATAGCAGCCCGAGTGGTAAATAGGGATGTCACTATGTTTTCCGGAAGCAAACAATGGAGTCTTATGGCGTTTCAAGCAGGGGGGGGGAGAGAACGGGAACTTTAGGATTTTAGCTTTTGCAGGCCATTTACATGCACAGAAACCTATATAAGACAATAGAGGAAAGGGAAACCCCCCAAAAAGCATATTAGGGCCCCTTTAAAATGATTATTGTGGGATATTTTAAGAGGATCTGTTCGGGCTCAGGACTTCTCCAGCACTTATTTTGCCTTTACCTTATCTAGTGCTTACTGCAATTTGGATATTGCATCAGTCCACATTGCAATTTCCATAACATTTGGATGAATTCGGCACACATGCATCCATGAAACAGACTGGGGACTGTGGGTAAAGCAGTTAAATGGCACATAGACAGTGGAAGAAAAAGAATAAATGGATACTGGAAAAAGAGAATGCGTAGCAAATATAGGAAGAAAGCAAAGACAGAAGGGCGGATAAAAAGGGAACCTCAACTGTACTTTTAGATAAGGCGAGAGCTGTCCTAGAGACCTAAAGACAAAGCTACATGAAACCTGTGATCGGGCCAACACACTGAACACATTAGTGTACTCTTCACAAACTGATTATACGGCACCTCCTCTCAGCAAACTACATTTGTTCACCTATTCTTTGGGTGTGTACGTAACAGTGTGTGTGTGTGGACTATAAAACAAAAAGGAACAATTCATCTAGTCTGGGAGCTCAGCGATCTAAGAGACAAGCAGAGAGAGAAAAAACAGCGGTACATAACACAGACACACAGACACACAGAGCAGAGCCAACATACATCACAGACTGAGGATATACAGAGAGAAGTGCTGGAGAATACACTCGCATGTTCTGGGAGGAAGTAAAGGAGGGAAGCTTTGAGAGAATCCAGGTAACATCAGAACACCTGATTAACCCTCATTCTTCCCTGCCTTCTCCAATTTCAATCAGAGAGGAAGTGAGCAGAAGCTGTTTCAACTTTTTCATTAGAGGTGTGTACCAATGAATTGATTCAAACTGTTTTCACATCTAAGAGACAGCTGCATCAATACATGCAGCGTTCAAATAAAAAGGTAGGAGGGAACGGAAGCTACATTATTCCTTGGTTCGATTGTAATCGTGTTGACAGGACATGTGTTTTTGTTTTAGTGCCTGATAATGTAATTTACTCCGTGACTGCTCCTCTTCAAACCCACTTCCTGTGTTATCAGCTTCATCACATCTCACAGAATGTAGGATACCGATTGTTAAGACATCTCTGCAGCACCGAAATACTTATATTTTCACATGTTTAGCCTTTGCAAAATGTCTTGCTTACTGCGGTTTGGATATGACACAAGTCCATATTGTGAATTTGATCAAACTTCCATTAATTGTGTAACTTTAAATATTGTCATCACTTATTCTGTACACTTTTATGCACACATCTAAACTCTGCAGTAACAGTAGTCTTTCTCCTACACACAAAAACTCTCACTATAGCTTCCCATCGCGATGTGAAATTTTTTCAAATATTTCAAAGGGCTTAAGCAGGATTCCAGTCGAGTGACAGAGTTGAGTGTCTTTACTGATTAAAGAGCACAAGACGGACAGAATCAAAAAGTGCAGCACTCTCTGCAACCCTCCAAAAAAAAAAAGGTGCGAACACAAGTGGCATTATTTACTGTATGGAGGAGCTGTATCGAAAACACACGCAGGCAGCCCCCCACACACACACCTTGTGGTATCTTGGGGGGCTGGTGGAGCGTTAAATGTTGCAGTACTTCAGTGTGACAGGAAACACTGTGTTTATGTGCTTATCGCTGCAGCCGGGACAAGAAAGGCCCTCTCCTCTCTGATGTATGGCTTCTTAATTAGAGCTACACTTAGAAACAGAGCTCATATAAGCATACACACACACACACACACACACACACACACACACACACACACACACACACACACACACACAAACAGCACAATAGCATCAAGGAAAGAGTGACTCTCATCATCACTGCTATTGTAACTAGCAGTGGTGTGTGTGTGTGTGTGTGTGTGTGTGTGTGTGTGTGTGTGTGTGTGTGTGTGTGTGTGTGTGTGTGTGTGTGTGTGTGTGTGTGTGTGAG